AGCTGGAACAGGTCTTTTTTAAGATTTATTTATTTATTATGTATATGGAACAGGGCGCCAGATCTCATTTCAGGTGGTTGTGAGCCACCATGTGGGTGCTGGGAATTGAACTCAGGACCTCTGGAAGAACAGTCAGTGCTTTCCTTTTTTTTTTTTTTTTTTTTTTGTTGCTGTTGTTGTTTTTGTTTTTGTATTTTCAAGACAAGGTTTCTCTGTGTAACAGACCTGGCTGTCTTGGAACTCGTTTTGTAGACCAGGCTGGCCTCGAACTCACAGAGATCCGCCTGCCTCTGCCTCCCGAGTGCTGGAATTAAAGGTGTGCGCCACCACTGCCGCCCGGTGCAGTCGGTGCTCTTAACCTCTGAGCCATCTCTCCAGCCCTCAAGTGGGTTTTCATGGGAAACTGTCGTGAGTAGATAACAGTAAAGGTCACCAGACAGACACTGAAGAAGAGGGTCAGTCTTGGCGACTCCTTCCTGCTGAGAGGACTGTAGTCCAAAGGAGTGGTCGGAAGAGACCAGTTACGTCAAGAAGGTGAAGGCAGAGAGAAGTGAAAAATGTGAGAGGGATTACCGAAAACTCCCTCAGCCAGGCCCTGCCAGCATGGGGAGGAATCTCCCTCCATGCTTTCGAGGCTAGGCTGCTTGCTAGAGCCTCCTAGGATCCGTCATTCAGCACTGGGCCTCTTGTCCTTTTTCTTCTGAATGAGCATCAAGGAAATGGAAGAAAAAAGGCGGGGTGGCATACAAAGGCTCTGGCTCAGTTAGAGAAAAGGCCCTGCTTCCACCTGTGGCCGGAGTCCCCCCCCACACCTGCGGCCGGAATCCACCCCACCCCACCCCACCCCCCGAGGGTGCTTGTAATTGGTGGTGTCCTTTCAGGGTTGGAGACATTTTTTTCTGAAACACGGTGTGTGTGGTTGTTCTGGCTTTGGATTTCCTTTTAAAGCAGAAGTTGGCAGTTTGAACTTGGCCTCTAGACTTCGTCACCACGGTCACCTGCCTGCACCAATGGCTTTGAACGGGCAGTGTTCACAGGTGTTGCTCTCTAGACCACCACCTCCAGGCCACCACCTCCAGGCCACCACCTCCAGGCCACCACCTCCAGGCCACCACCTCCAGGCCACCTTTTCACTTGGCATCTACCCCGTTCCCTCCCCCACGTCTGCAAACAGGAAGGATGATCAGGTCACAGACTCCTCCACCATCGATTCCTTCAGACGGTCAGCAGTGGGCAGCCAACCAGCCTCATGCCTCTGCTTCATTTTCCTTGATCCAGGGGAGTCTTTCCTAGTCTGCTAACAGAATTTGATTGGTTTTTCTTTGTGGGGGGCACTAGAAGTGGAACCCAGTACCTTGTTTATGCTAAGCCCTTATTGTACAGTGGAGCTGCTGCATTGAGCAGTCCTGAATTTCAGTGTTTAAAAAATGACGTCCAGTCCTTCTTTCTAGGCCTGGGATCAGTTGGTAACTCCAGCTTTGTTTGGACCTGCATATCTGTCATTCAGACCTCAGGTTGAGTTTTATATCTGCAGACCTCTGTGAACTAAAGGGAGCCTGTGGCATGTGATTTGCTCCCTCCCTGGTACGCTGCCCTTTGTCACCAGAAAAATATGAACAGCAAGCCATATTTTATGTATGCTGAGTTCAGCTGCTCCTTGACCCCGGGGGCCTAACGGCACAATGGGATGGGACAGGCCTGCCGCATTGCTCAGCAAGGGTCTAAGCTCCCTGTCATCTTAAAGCAATTACTGAAGTGACCACATAGTCAGCCCAGCTTTAAAAACCAGCCCGCCCAACCATAGCCACCACTGCTTCCTTCCAAGGGTGCCCAGGACTGAGATCACATTAGAAAGAGTGGTGGAGCCAGCGGCCAGCTCTACCTAGGCAGGTCCTGCACCTTGAACCTCAGGCTGTGCGCTAGGATTAGTAGGTTTCCACCATATTGTAGGGCGGCCTTGCCCCACCTCCCCCACCCACAGTTACGGTGGGGATGTTCCTGCCACACAGACATTTATTTCCTCTCCAGGAAGCTGTACAAAGCCCAGTGTTTGAGGGTCTCTGTCTCTCTTTAGTCTCTATTATTGAATTGAAACTAATCAATTCAAATTCAGTTTGAGCCAGATTGGTCGGAAAGGAAAGGGGAGACTATTCACACCAAAGATAGTCATTCCCATAATGGAGATCAAATGTGCAGGAAATCGGTCAAACCAGTTTTTAACAATAAAACGTCCGACCATTAAACAAACCTATGAGTTCATTTCCTTCTTCAGGGACAGCAGAGTCGCCTCCTTTAAGTAAGCAATCACCTCTTCTCAGAGAAGCAGAGCCCAGCATCCACTTAAACACAGAGAAGCCCACCGTTCACTTAAAAACAGAAGCAGAAGGCTCCCTGTAACCACTGGAGGATGTGGCCCAGGTCACAAGTGTCCAGCCTTCTGCAGGCCTACATCCTGGCAGACTAGGAATCTTCTGGTCCCTTTTAGAGCTGTGGCTAGGTAGGCAGGGTTCCTCGACAGGGATACCTCCAGTCTTTGCCCTGTATTCAGCTGAAGGGAGCCATGAGGGAAAAACCCCACTAGAATGGCCTTCTTGCCTGCCTTCGAAGGCCTCCCAGCTCCTCAGTGATTAGATGCAGGGCTCTTCCTAGGCCACCCGCAGTCACGGAGAAATGCTGAATAGTATATGGTTCTCAGTGGGAAGATAAGCATATTTCAAGGCCCACCTCTGCCCCAAATTATTCTATTCTTCATTTCTTGTTTGCGATATGGAAACAATAATACATTCACTGGGTGGTTATGAGAATTAATTTTAAGAACTCTAAGTATGGACTATATTAAGCCAGACAGCATACTAGTCCCTTGCTTAGACCCTCCCGCCCATCTTGGTTTTTGGATAACACTATTATCTTTCCTTTCCAGTGAGCTACCTGACAAAGCTTGCCTTTACTTGATTTATGAGGTATTGTCACAGAGGATTGTGACCTTCCCCCTCCCCCTCCCCTCCAGCCCCCAAATGCTGTGACTCAAAGGAGCCTCCCCAAGCCCTGCAGAGGCCCCGGGCTTTGCTGCAGGATGTCACCAGGGGCTGGGGGCAGCCATGGATGCTGCCCCTGAGCGCCCTCTGTTGACGAGACCGTGGTGGGCCGACCTCTAGATTCTCAGACATCTGCAGGACAGCACCCCTCGGCAGGCTGCGCCCTTTAAGCCCCTTCTGCCTCCACAGTGTAAGGCTCCCTCCACCTTCTGCTTTGAGTGCCTGCAGCTGAGTAAATATTGTCCCTGTCTCTCTGCATGCACTTATGTGCGGTGAGATATAATAAGAGAAACCCCTCTTCACCAGTCATAAACCAAGGAAACAGACAAAGCAGTACGGGCCGGCATTGTGGGGGGCACTGCCGTTCCCAGAGAAGCAGGTCTGAGGAAACAGGTCTGTGGACAGGAGGGCCTTGCGACGGCACCTTTGGGTGTTCACGCTGCACGTGTGCCGCGCTCGTCAGCTTTGGAGCAAGACAAGATGGTTATCGTATTCTTCCCTCTCGTATGTGTAAAAATCCTTTTTGTCTCCTGGCAGGTGATCATTTTTTTTTTCCTAGAAACCAATTAGCTACTAAAATTAAACGTGCTCTCTTTAAATGAATCCTTTTCATAAAACGGCGTTAAAATTGTTCGGCTTTTCAGGGTATGCCGCTGACCCAGTTGTAATCGGATGCATTGGGGTCCCCTCACCCAGGCCTCCGCTGCCCAGCTGCAGCCAGGTGCTCTCCACCTGAAGGAGAGAGCTTTGCCAGGCCCAGGCCTCATCTTGGCAAAGCAGAACGTCCCTCAGATCATCGGGTTCTCCTGCCCAAGTGCCCTGATGGCAGCTGGTGGAGTTTTAATCACTGTAAATGCAGGTGACCATCAGATTAGCCAGGAGAAGGGGACCTGCTGGTTGTTCTGCAGTGATGTATTGTTTACGGGATTAATGTCCCGGTGGCCAAGGGTGTCAGCTGATATTTATTGCTATAAGCTGTCTTAGCTGTTCCGGTTCAGCGGCCAGATTCACAGCCACCAGAAACGTGGGGTTTAGAGTGTGGGGTGTCACGTGTGTGCGTGTGTGTGATAGCACACGTATGTGAGACCCAGACACTGGGCAAGATGCCCTTCAGGGCCCACCTTGAGTTCTGTTCTGTGCTCCTGAGGGAGCTTGCACATGCCTGAAGGTCAGGCGTCTCTGGGGAGGAGTGTGTGTCCAGGTATGCTCCAGAGGGGGTTGGAAAGGAGGTCATGTCTGACAGGCCTGCATCTGTGAGGAACTGTGCTGCCTACCAGGTGGCCGTCAGCAGTGTGTGTGTGTGTGTGTGTGTGTGTGTGTGTGTGTGTGTGTGCGCGCGCGCGCGCGCGTTAACCTCAGTCCCTCTCCAGCCCTAAATAAAAAAGGACACTTTCAAGGTCACTGTGCCTTTAAGGGGACCTTCTCTCCTTGCCTCTCTGTCCCTCTGCGTAGTAGGGCTTAAAGCAACAAGAGGCCACTTTTAAACCTCTCTGCAGACATAAGTGTGTACCGCTCCTGCATGTGTGGACTAACACCCACTGCGGAGGGTTGTTTTTCCAAAGTGAAATTTAATTTAACGCGAGTGTACACTGTCACACTGTAAACACGCTGGGGCACGAGAAGGGTAGCTCATTGAATTAATGCCCTAGCAAAGGTCAGCTTTTAGAAAAAGCCAAAAATGGCTGGACTCTCTCCTGATAGCTCCTCAGTCAAGCCCTGGACCTGGGCAGGTGTGTTTATTTTTTCAGAGGGAGTTCCTGAGAACGAATCTCAAGTTCAGATGCTGGCCTCCGCCTGTGCTCAGAGACCCCCTCCACCCTCCCAAGAGGTCGCGGCCCTGGTCAGCCTGCTGGGCCTCAGGGGCAACAAACTCCACAGAGTCGGTGGTGGCAGTGCCCTCCAGCCTGAGCTCTTGGGGTCTTTCTTGTAACTAACACTGCCTTTCTCTGCCCGTTTCCCTCAAAGGATGGCATGAACTGGGTCTGCAAGAACGTCACCGCGAAGAAGAAATAGTCTAGAGCCGTGGAGCTGCAGGAGCTGTAGGAGCCGCGTTTGGCCCGAAGAGCACTGGTCTGCTGTTTTCTGACCAAATGCTTTTTCATCTGCACAGCGGCCGCTGTGTGACGAGAGGGACAAGAGCTTCCGAAGAACCCCTCTCCAGCCGTAGGTTTTAACTGATCTCCAAGGTTCAGTATCGTTTTTCAAATAAAGGAATTATATTATTTCCTCTGCTTAATTGCGATAGTATTAAATGTCTCAGAGCACATGATCAGGAAAGGGTAAGAGCTTGCGCTGCAGTTTAGACAATTCCAGTGAGCTTTTTGTAAAAAAAAGAAAAAAAGGAAGAAGAAGCTGCTGCTTGCGCTGCGTCCCTTTATTTACTGACCTGTCCCTTCACTCCCTTCGGGTTTGGAAACCACATGCCTGGCGGTGCTGGGCAGAGATTTGATTTTTTTTTTTTTGTCCTCATCCCCAACAGCCAGGGCTTTAGTCTATCCAGCAGGACGCTGCTTGGGGAGGCAAAGGATAGCACATGATGAAACCATCTTGTCAGGTAGGTAAGACACTGGATGTAATCCCCACTTTATGGGCAGAAGAAAAAAATCCTTGCAAACAGGTCACTACAGAAACATCCCCACTCCAGCCCCCCAGCCCTCACCCCTGCCAGCCATGCACGGCAGCAGATTCTTATGACTTTTGACTGTAATGACATCTGGAATGTAAGAAGAGGTGGGAGGTTTAATTCCAGAAAAATTACAAGGTCCTTAAAAAGCCCTCACTCACATGGAGAGCTCAGGCTAGCGTAAACAGGCTTTCTCCAGCTCAGTGGAGCAGGGCCAGTCGACTCCAGGTTCGCCGCCGACTTCTCCACTGCAGTCCTGTAGAGGGGATTTCTAAAGCTCAAAGAATTCTGTGTTTAAATGATCACAATAGGCCGATGCTATCAGATTTTAAAAATAAATGCAGCTTTGCCATGAACCTGCTCCACTGAGAAAAGCCAGGCGGATCGATTTTGAGAAGAGATCAATTTTTACAGTGCGGGCACTCGGTGGTGTGGGAAGCTCCCGGATGGGAAGCATCTGCTGCAGGGAACATGGGGTGTGATCGCAGGGGTTGTGCCCAGAGAAGCCACTCACCCCGTGCTGGTCTCCTCTGCTTCTTTCCAGCAAAACATGTTGGCTGATAGGGAACGGTGCAGAAGCCCTGCCCTTCCCCCATTGCAAAAGGAGCGCGTCTCCCTGAGCCCTCAGAAATCCCAGCCTCAAACCCCAAAAGCAGGCCAGAGCATCGCCTGCTCCTGAATTAAACTCTGTTCTGGGCATGAGCTCAGGGCTTTTCAGAGAATAAATAAGAGACTATCCAATGCCTGGTAGGTCCAAGGAGGCCAGCTGCCTTCTCATCCTGGGAGGTGGCCCTTTCCAAGTCCCCCGTGATGTGTGAGCTAACAGAAAGTGCCACAGAAGCCCCTGCCCCATGGTACCCAGCTATTCTGGACTCTGGGGAGGGAGAAGCTTGTAGAGTTTGAAAGGCAGCTGAGATGAAAAGTCTGACAAAGCCTGGGAGAGTGGTGGCTGTGGTAGCCGCGGACAGGCCTGTGAGGGCTTGCAAGACAAAAGAAGAAGAAGATGAGGGGGTTAAACCTAGGCTAGTTAGGCCTGCCACCTCTTCCAGCGACTTCTCTGATTTGAAGGGTGGCAGACAGAGCTATAAGGAATCAGAAAAGCCCTTTCTCCAGCCTCCAGATGGAGCTTTGGCCTTGAGACTTGCTCTTCCTTCCAAATAGTGCCCCCAGGATGTTATCTGAAGGGCTGCATGCCTGCTTTGAGGTCTAGTTTTGGAATGCTGCAGCGGGGACTTTGACTCTGGAAGAGCAGGATCTGTAAAAGGTGTTTGGTCTCTTAGCACCAACTGAAGGAACTGTTCTAAAGAGCAGCTGTCCCCAGGCCCCAGCTAGCGGGCAGAGCTGCTTGCTCTGCTCTGATGGCAGCCGCTGTGAATGTCCACATTGCTTTTCAGCCAGAGACACCAGAGACAACTGTGGTTGTCACAGGCTTTCATCTTGCCTGTGAACCCTGTTGAACCCTCCGGGGGCTCGGGATAGATGAGAGGAGCCTGGAAAATGCAGAGTTTGAAAGCTCCCATTTGTAAAAACAAAATGTTTGTGAAGTCCCCTTTCCTCTGTACGGTGCCACCCGTGCCCCTGTGGCCATGACCAGAGGACAGATTCTGAATCTGGAAAGGGGATCCCCCAGCCCCGTGCCTCCCCCATCCCAGTGAGCCCTGGTAAGACTTTTGCTCTGCGCACCATTGCGTCTGAATGTGCAGGGGGCGAGGGCTGAGGCCAGAGGGCAGGCAAAGTCCACAGTGTCTACTAAACCAGTTGTGGGAAAAACTGAGCCCTCCTCCCACCCTCCCCGTGTGGCTGCTTTTGGCTGGATTCCCTTCGCCCAGTGCAGTACACCCTTTCCCCTTCGCTCTCCCTTGGTTACTATGGAAACAAGGGTGTCATTGATGTGGGCTGAGCTGGGGAACATGTCGGCGCAGCTGAAAGTCAGCGATTATGCCGGCGCTTAGCTCGGCCCGGTAGAAAAGTCCGCAGCCTGAGATGCTGCACACAAGGACGATCTTGCCAGCGTCCGCCCTCCTCCTCCTCCTCCTCCTCCTCTGTCCCCTGGCTTTGACGATTTCTTTATGCCCCTCCGGACTAAAGTGGTGGCTATTTTTAATGCCACTCTGTGCCCCACCCTCACTGTTGGCCGCTCCTTTTCCGGCCTGGCCTGGAGGGTGACACCATGTCACCCTCACCAGGACCCAGGCCTCCATTCCCATCTGCAGTATGCTTTGATTCCCCTTCCTCTCCTTCTCGGGACGCTTCTTCCTTTATTTTTAGCTCTGCTCTCCATGTGGTTTCAGGGTTCAGTGTGATCCATCGAAAGGTTCTTTTTTTATAGTCCCTTTTGAAAATGATAATCAAAGGAAGGGACGTGGTGTTTGGTCATGTGGAAAGCTCAATGTATAATTTAGACGTCTGTCAAAACTGCGACAAATAAAATGTAGCTGAAATGAAGGCAGTCTGCAGCGGCCTGTGTTCTTCGCCGAGCCTCCAACAGGACCCAAGTGGCTTTGCCCTTTTGGAGATTAGCTTTCCTCAAGGGAGGGCTGTTCTCAGAAAAATGCGTGCATACCATCGCCAGGTAATGCGCTTACCACCCCAGGCACGGCAGCAGCTGGGACAGCAAGCCTTTATTATGCGCCTCCTGCATAACTAGGCAGCATTAGCCCCACTTTGCAGTTGAAGAAACAGAGGCATTTGCCTCGGTTAAGGAATTTGCCGGGATCACAGGGCCGTTCAGGATTGTTGGAGCCTGAACCCTGGGTCCCCTGCTGTCTCAGAAGAACAGAAACTAGCAGGGCAGCTCACTTCCCAGCAGTTCCAGCAGCTGCCTCCTCACGTCCCTCTGCACCAAGTGTCTCCTCTGATGGCACTGCCCCTGGACTCTGGGTCCCCGGGGCCAAGTCCTCTTGTCACAGCAGTAAGTTACAGGGTTCTTACCTTCCTCTGCTTAGGTTCAGCCCTGTGGGCAGCAAAGAGAGGAGAGAGAAGCCATCAAGGACATTAGGGCTACCGGGGATCCTTGCTGCCTGCTACTGGGTCCCCTTGCAGGAAGCCCTCAAAAGAAGAAAAGAATGCCAGCCTTTGGAAGGTGGAGGCAGGAAGTTCAGGACTTAAGGGCAGCCTAGGCTACCTGAAGCCTCATCTCAAAAACCCGGAAGTGGCATGGGGGATACTTGTGAAAAGTCCCATGGTTGTTGAGCAGAAGCTCAGGAGTCGGCTTCTGGAGCCAAAGATCTCATCCTCTTTGTCAATGTACTCCTAAGGTCGGTCCTTCCACCCTAGGGACCAGAACCTGCAGGGCGAGCTGCTGGCAGGAAGGAGGTGGGGCCCAGAGGTGGGAGGAGATAGAGGCGTAGGGCCTAGATGTGTTACAGGACATTCAGTTCAGCTTGAGTTTGGGATAAAGGCTGGCTTTTAATTCGCATATACTCCACACCATATTTGAGACGTTGCTGTAATACTCAGATTTAATTGCCATTCTGTTGTTTTCTTTGTCTTTTGATAAACCTGATATTCCTTCCAAGGACTAATAAAGCCCTAGTGAAGTGCCACAGACATGTATCCTCAGCCAGGCAGGGTGGCACGGGCCTGTCATCCCAGCACCCGGAGGCTGACAGGTTCAAGGGCAGCCCAGGCTACATAGCAAGACCCTATTTCAAAACCAACAGGAAAGAGCTGGCTGTGGTGGTGCACACCTTTAGTCCCAGTGCTTGGGAGGCAGAAGCAGGTGGATCTCTGTGAGTTCAAGGCCAGCCTGGCTTACATAGTGAGATCTGTCTTTAAAAAAAGGAAAGGAAAGACAATGGCTCACAGGGTAAAGTTACTTACCCTCCGTCCCTGGCAACCTGAGTTCAATCCCTAGAACCCACACAAAGTTCGAAGGAACGAACTGACTCTGCAGAGAGCAGACACTCTGTGCCTCAGTTTCCTGTGTGTAGAAGAGGGGACCGCTCACCAGGAGGATGCAGACACTGGAGAGCACGGGTACACAGTGTGTGGTGTATGTGAACTCTGCAGCCACTACAAAAAATGGCCGACTTTCCCAGGCCCCCAAGACCTCTGCCCCCCCTCCATTCCTTCTGTGTGGCTCTGTGATTCTCCAAGCAACACAAGCAGGTCTTCCAGCAGCCTTCTCTGAGGGCTAGCAGACCCCATCCCACCCCACCCCCCAGGCTCCAGGGCCGCCCCAGCCACACCTCTTGCGATTAGATCTGTAAGTGGGAACAGGCTCTTGTCAGGGACTCCTGATCGGCTCCAGGCAAAAACACAGTTTAGCGCTCAGTCAAGCTGCATTTTTAGGGCCTCTGTGCCCCCCCCCATCCCCCTTAATTGCAATCTGTTCTGTAATTTCTTTTTCCAACACTGCAGAACACAGAGACGCTGCAGCCACCACCAGCAGGGCAGGGAGGAGGGAGAGAGCTCCTGTTCCCTACCGAGCATCTGCTGGTCCAGCACTTGGTGGATACAGATACGAGTGCAGTGTGGGGTGTGTGTGTGTGTGTGTGTGTGTGTGTGTGTGTGTGTGTGTGTGTGTGTGTGTGCGCGCGCGCGCAAGCACCAGCCAGCCAGCCAGCCAGAGGCATGGATGTGTGGAGGTACAGTCTGCAGCCAGCAACTAGACCTCCATGTGTCAGGGTCAGCTGAGAAATGGTTAAGGCTGTATTCTCTTGTCCCAGAAGCATCTCGTTTATTAAATCTTATTTAACCCTCGCAAGGACACTATTAACTGGAGACACTGAGTCAGTCACTTGTCCAAGATTTCACAAGAAGAAGATGACATAGGCAGAATTTGAACCCAGGCCTGTTGGGCTGCTAATCCCAAGATACTTCTTTTCTTTTTGATTTTTTTTAAAGACAGGATCTCACTATGTTATCCTGGCTGGCCTGAAATCCATAGACCTGCCTCTGTGGTGGGACTAGCTGGCTCTTTTTTACTTTTTTTTTTCTCTCAAGATAGGGTTTCTCTATGTAACAACCCTGGCTGTCCTCGAACTCACAGAGATCTGCCTGCTTCTGCCTCCCAAGTGCAGGGGTTAAAGGCGTGCGCCACCACACCACACCACACCACACCACACCTTTTTGACTTCCAAAGCTGTTCTCTTGGAAGCACAGGAAGGGGCTGGAGAGCTGGTGGAGCACTTGCTGTTCTTGCCGAGAACCGGGTGCACGTGGACCACAGACATACGCACAGGCAAAGCACTAATATATGTAAATAAAAACAGTAATTTAAAAAATTGTTGCTGGGTGGTGCTGGTGCCTGCCTTTAATCCCAGCACTCGGGAGGCAGAGCCAGGCGGATCTTTGTGAGTTCGAGGCCAGCCTGGTCTATAGAGTGAGATCCAGGAAAGGCGCAAAGCTACACAGAGAAACCCTGTCTCAAAAAAACAAAAAAAAAAAAAATTTAGATGACAATTTATAACAGTAGCAAAATTACAATTATGAAGTAACAATTAAAATAATATGATGGTTGGGGTCACCACACATGAGGAGCTGTATTAAAGGGTTGCAGCATCAGGAAGGTTAAGGACTACCACTCTAACAGATATGAAAGAACAATTTTGAATGATGGTTAGCTCAAATTCTGGCACCAGTGAGATCTGGGTTTAAATTCTGTCTCTGCTGTTACAATCTGTTTCACTGAGGGGCAAGTTTCTT